GTGTGTGCAGTGGCGGGAGCCACCCTTCCCCCCCACATGTACCCCCTGGATGAGCCACCATCCCACACTTTGCCCTGTCTGCTGGGCAGAACCTGCCCCAGCCCCTACTCCCTCCATCACCATGGGGGTCTCGATCTGCCCCCCCAACTCCCTTTCACTCCCCTTCCCCTCCACACACTTACCAGCTCAATGTTGCTCTACAAGCTGCCAGGGCTGCGCTCCTGGCTGTTTGCGTGCTGTGTCTGCGTGCATGCATGCAACATAATCAGCTACACTGATCAAAAAAAAATAAAAAAGCGAATTGCCACTAATGTCAATTTTCCTTCTATCGGTCCTGATCCGATATGGACCAATTATATTGGTGCACCTCTAATGTTCATGAAAGTACACTGGCAAATTCTGTCAGATTTATAAAATGGCTGGGGTATGTATTTGGGAGTTATACTAAGATAACCAAACTCATTTTCTGTCACGTGTACAGTGATGAAGAGCTAATGCAAGCTTGCCTGCCTCGACCCAAATTGTATATAGCTGCTTGTTTTCTTTATTTTCTTTGTTAAAAATAAAGTTGGCTTTGGAGTGTATTTTATTAACTATTTAATTGAAGTGAAGTATTTTAATAATGAGTAAATCTGTTTTAGAGAAACTGAAGTTTTCTTAATAAATGCTATTCTGGGATGCAGACCATTTGGAAACAATCAAACTTTGTTCAAATACTACAGATCTCCCATAAATACTGTAGGAAATATAAAACCCCACTGTTTCCTTTCTGTTGCTGGGAGGCAGACTTCCAAACGGTGGCAGGTGTAGAAAATGAGGGTAAATGAGTGTGGCCTGATTCAGGCTAGGTAATAAATTTGGGTTGATTTAGCATGGCCGTATTTGGTTTTTCAATTGATTTTGGAGTGTTTTCTCTCAAGACCTGATTACTAAAGTTTCAATGAAAGGATTAATTTCTGTGCCAAATTTTTACCAGTGGATGAATAGCTAAATATAACTCTTAACTGTGCAGTTTTACTTAAAGCTGCTTTTGAATTTTGTTGTGCAAAAAGAATAACTGTCTAATTTAGCATGCAGGTTAGGATTATTTTTTGTGTATATTTTGGAGATATTTTTGATCACAATCTGAGTCCTAATTACATCTTTATGATTTACCTTGTTCTTTACAGAAGTAAGACTGCCGCAGTTAGTGGTATGAATGGATTAAAGTCTCGTTCTGGCAGCAAGGTATTTTTACGCTAACATTTCTTTCTTAATTGTAGTTGGCTATATTGTATAAAGTTTCATTTTTTTGGAACAACTTAAGTTTCTCATTTTTAAATGTTGTTTAGTAGGAGAAGTATGTAGCTCTTAAAAATTGTTGTAGTAAAGTTAGCACTTTGGGCACCTATACACTTGCAGCATGCTGCTCCAGTGCACTGTAATTACAGCATGTTGGAGCAGCTTCGATTAATTGAGTCTGATGGAGTACGGTAGTTACTGCACTCTAGCATTGCTTGTATCAGTGTCCCCACACTGAAAAATGGTGGCGGGGATGCTTTAACTGAAGTTTGTTGGGGGAGCTTTAGTTAAGGTGCCCCTACTACCATTTTTCAGTGCAGGGATGCTTATACAAGTGCTCTTGGCAATTTAATTAGAGTGGCTTTGAGAGCTGCTTTAATTAAAGCACCCCCCCGTCCCATTCCTAAAGCATGTGTATAAACACCCTTTGTTACTGTGCATTTCAAGCAAATCCCCTTGAATTTACCTTTCATGCAGTTAATGCTTGGTTCTCCACTGCTTTGTGTTTCATTTGAAAGTTTGAGTGGTATGATGTTTAGTAAAATGCAATAGATGTGTGTGTGTGTTCACTTGCTGCTTTGTTCTCTTTTGTACAGCACCTTAAGGCCAGTGGAAATCCCACCTCATCTACATTGCCTAGAAAAGTTGTCAAATCGCTCAACCCATCAGTTTATAGAAATGTTGAATATGAAGTTTGGCAGCAGTCCAAACGGGGTAAGCTCGCCTTATTTGTGCAAGATGATCATCAGCTCCTAACAAGGTCCCATGGGAGTCAAGCTTGCTCTGAGCAGTAGCAGGGGTCTGTCCACATGGGTCAGTCTGCTGACTTGGAGTCTAAGTGATAGCTTTTCATTCCCAGATTATTTTTGGAGGAATGTAAAATCACACTAGACTTTGTTACTTTGCCTAAAGTGTTTTTATATTTGGTGGGAAGTAATTGTAATTTGCAATTTTACTGGTAATATGTTTACAGATCAGCAAAAACGAGATTTTTCCATTGCTGCTGGCATGCAATATTCAGTTGGAGATAAATGTAAAGTAAGTAGTTTTGAATGGTAACTTTTCTGTCGTCTTTCTGATGTCAGTTTTTTTCCTGTGGCTGTTGGTTTAATTGCATTGTCACTAACTGTGTATGTTCTCATTTGTTTATGATGATGCTTTTGAGGAGGCTTCACACAAGAAATACAGACCAGCTCCTGCAAATTCAGAAGCAGTTCCTTATTTATATACAGAACTGACTAGTTACAGCTGTACTGTAAGCTTTTTTTTTTTTTTTTTTTTTT